AACAGAAACAAATAAAGGTTAAATTCAATGTTAAAAATTACTATGAAATTAAATGAAAAGAGAAGACTTAAAAGGGTCAAATAAAAATAACAAGAAATAACAATAACATCGAGATGACCTGAGATGTTTTGAATTGTACAAAAAGGCAAATAGAAAGTCATAGAGAGACAGAGAAATGGGTAGAGAAACAGAAAGATGAAAATAGACTGAACATAAATCCTTAGAATAAGGTGAAACTTACCTTTTTATTATTAATCATAGTTCAATTAAATTTAAAGCTAGGCAGTGGACCAGATGAATTTGATTTTATACAAAAAAAAGGTTTGAGTACAACAGTTAATAACATATAAATTAAAAATTCAATGAGAAACCAACAGCAAATGATTTCAACTTACGACGCCGCTGTTTTGCTTCTATGAAAAGAGAAGCTTGAAAATATAAACTGTCGCCATCTTCCAGCAGTAAATGTCGAATGTTTGGTTTGATAGAAATTTTGTTTTTTTTATATTATTGTTTAAATAATCAATCTTTTTCTTCTCTATGATTATATCATTACAATTGAACCTTTTAACCTGATTCTGTTGGAATAATCATCTTAACCTTTTCTCATGGTAATCATCTGATTACCTTTCTTTCATCAATTGACTTTACTCGCCTAACCAGTGTCATCAATATTAAGCTAACCAGTATTTGGATGCGGTTTTATTTACTAATTTGACAATTATTTTAATTTGTTGTTTTCATCTTTAAGGGATAATCTATCTCCATCCTGATCACCACAACTATCATCATAATCAACCTGATCATCTCCATTAACATAAATATCCTGTTACATCGATTGATTGTCAACTCAACTTGATTAACCTTTTCTTTTGCTTCTTTTTTTTATTATTCTGTGTCTTATATATACTTTTATCAATCCGGTTTATTGCCTTGTTTTGTATTATTATTATTATTCTGATCAAAGTTAGATGATTAGTGTATAACCTTGATTAAGTTGCACACACACTCTTAATACAATATTTAGTTAACAGCTAATCATTTCAATATTTGATTTGGTCTTGTCGTCAAGAGATTCAATAAGATTTACCATTTTAAAGCGTCTTCATCTAAAGTGTAAAAGCTTATCAAAACCCAAAAAGAACCAGAAAATATAATTTAAAGATTGATGAATAATTAACCTTATCGACAATAATCATGATGAACCATGATTAACCATGATTAACCACTAACAAAAATGGTTAGTAAACATGAATAAGGTTCAGCCAATTTGTCACTCATAATCATAAAGAAAATGTCTTTTCTAATTGAGTCATTGAGGTGTTATTATTAGTTAATTGTCAAGTTTATAAAAAGAAACCATGAACTATTGAATGAATGAAAAGTGATTTATCAAATCAGCAAAAGACAATCAATTGGTTAACACAATTGAGAGCACAATTAAGGTTTAAGCTTTTCGCATTAAATCAATGTGTTAATAAAAGTCACTTTTATATTGTGATTCAATTTTATTTGACATGACCTGGCAATTTTATACAATATTATCATCTTGATTGTTACAGTCATCATAAACATTGTGTTAACTCATTAATAACTAATATATATATAAATTTGCTGTCTTTATTGTTCAATGGTGAGACTTGATCAATGCTGATTATTGACTTTCAATCGTTCATTTAATATCAACCAAATAAAGTGTTTTTTTGTGGAGTAAAACCTTTAACTTTCAATTGTCAAACATTATCATTACAATACATTATTAATAATGAATTGTAAATGGGAGGAAGCTCAATCTATTTACAATTGTAATCGCCTTCAATTTTGATCAAAGAGGAAAATTGTTTAAAACTGATTTCCCATTGTAGCTGATTACTGTTGTTACCAGAAAGACCAAAGTCAATTGATCACGAAAATGTCCGATTGTCACAGCTGAGATGATTATGATTTGATGGTTATGTTAAATTAAAGGCACAATTAAAGGATGTGTTATGATTGTGAGGAAATGGTCATTAAACTGATCTAGTTGTGATTGATTACCAGGTCTAATTGGGTGTCTTTAAACCAATATTTGGTTAACTGCTTGTCATTTCTGGCTATCCTTAACCCTCTATATCATCCTCTGTTTGCCTAATCGTAGGAAGTAATTAATATTTCAACAAGTAATGACTTTAATGTAATCATTAGGTTAATCAACTTTACTTCTTGCTGATGTATTGTTGTAAATGGCAACAACGGTTACTTATTATAACAGAGGTTAACTCGCTTGGCGTCTTGTGTTTCCTTCAATATGGATACGAAAAGGGTTACATAAGGTTATCCTTGGATGCTGATTGAACCAGTGTAACCCATCCTTTAGCAGGTACATTATAATTTGTGTTGAGATGGGTGAACATCAGGCAACAAGTTTAACTGAGGGAACAGAGACAATTAAAGTGTATCTCTGTGTAGGACCGGGATACATATGTTTATTACAATAATATTGGTTCCACCAAAAATCAGTCATCGATGTAAAACCTTCCCAAATCAATTAGTTTATGATTATTGTTGCTTGATTGTCCTTGGTGTTTGGTTGTTAACGTCCATAAGCTTTATAAAAACACGCAGATCAGTGATATTATTAGCTTGATGTATATCATCATATAATATCTTTAGTTTTCAAATCATTAATAACCAAGAAACAATCAAGAAATCAACTGGTATCAATTGATTCTGAATAATGGTGAGAGTTTCAGCTTATGAATGCATCTAATCATGCAAAGTTGATTGTTATTCTGCTTATGCAATTCATTAGATTGTTAATAATGATCAAAGTCAACAGTTAAATCATTCATTTCAGTATTTCAAAGTTCGTTTTTGTAACAATTGAAAGTATCATCGATTTGATTAAACTATTGCTTCCAAAAGTTGTATAAAATATTTGCAGTCCCATACTTTGATGATAAAGCAACAAGAAGATAGACATCTTAAAGGACCAAAGTCATACTGTGCGATCTCTCTTTTACGGTAAATGGTTTACTCAAAATTGATTGTTTGTACGAGAGTTTTTGCATCACTTTTCTAAAGTTTAAGACTTCGAGCTGAATCTTGGGCAATCAACTGAATTTTGACTGTGACCATTACATTCAACTGTGAAGTCATTCGTCAACTGATGTGTGTTTAAATGACAACTTCGCTCTCATCAGGTAAATCTTCAGAATAAGTAAAACACTGCTTCTAGATTAGAGATCTGGGGAATGCAGATGCTTATGATAAATGTGAAATGCAGTCCAGTCGATCAACTATTATTGTGGAACTGGCCAGTACTTACAATCCTTTTCAATGTCACTTCAATTTCATCGGGTCTAACTCCATATTTATCAACAACCGAATAGATCTGTTGAGCTGCAAGTCTGTAACTTGTAACGAACGAGTCTTTTGATGTATGCGATATTGAATAGACTGATTATCATTATTATAAAATAAATTATACTCATTAAAATATGATTACTGTGCAACATTAGCAGTTTATTAGTACTGTTTCAATTTGTAACGATGATTTAACGATGTAACGATTTGCATTTGCCTATTGTTAGAATCATGATATTTATCATTCATTCGTTTAAATTAGGTTCTTGAGTCGATCATTCATTACAACGTTACAATTATTTGACTCTCAATGCTATTTATTGTGGTACTGGCCAGTATTTACAGTCCTTTTGGGTTGTGAATTCAGTCTCATCGCGTGAAACTCCATACTTAGTGAACAACAAATCGGTCAGTTCGGTAAGCTTGTCAGCACTGATGGTGTTATTCCTGGACAAAATCCAACCGTGTTCTGTGATGAAAAAGAGTTAAATTGTTGTTATAATACAAATCAATTGCTATGAAAACACATTCAGGGAATCGACCCGAGTGATACTCACTAACGGTGTAGATGGGAGGAATACCGAGACAAGTGTATGCAACCAGATAGTTGTCGTAATCAGTATACGCTATGTTGAAACCGATTGGGAATGGAAGCTCTAAGAAACAGAGAACATGGTTAATATA